AGCCTCTGCAGCCAGCCCCTGGGCCCGGCCCAGGCCCTGGTGCTGGCCCTGCTGGCCATGGCCTTCGGGAGCCCCCTCCTCTGCAGCGTCCTCTCCATGGGCTGCCTGCCCCTGTGTGCGAGTCCCCCCAGTACCAGAGGCCACCCCAGTCGCCACCCCAGAACAAATTGCTGGCCAGATCCTGAAGACATCCAGCTGGGGGAGCCAACGTGTGCCTTGGCCTAGGCCCCCAGCGGGCACTGCTGTCCCACTCGGTCCAAACCAGCGCCCAGGGCGAGAAGCAGCCCCTGGAAGGCCCCGGCTGACCACCGGGGCCCACAGGCCGGGGTGGCTTGTGTGGAACCCTGCACCCCGGACTTGGCAGGTCCAGGTGAAAGAGAGAGACGTCGAGTTTGCAAAGTTGGGGTGGGGGTGGGTGGGATGGGGCAGAGGCCAGGCCACGGTGGTGACCATGACCACTGACCACCGTCCCTTCCCTGCCCCAGAATTGGCGGGGGGGAGGGAGGTGGAGGGAGAGCCAGTGACAACATCCAGACTTTTGGGCACCGTGTCCAACCTCACAGTTTGCAAATAAAGGTTGAATAGGAGATGTCAAGTCTGCAGGCTCCTTTGGGGCACAGATGGGCCCTCCTATACCTCTGGCATGATTGGGGGGTGCCCTGCATCCCGCTTGAAAATTGCCTTCTCTGGCCATCGGCCCCCAGAGTACGCCGCGTCCCACCAAGTGGCTCAGCCTGGGGCCCAGAGACCCCAGGTGTGGGGGGCGGCAGCAGGCCGGGGGGTCCCAAGTGATGCCCACATGCTTCTGGGGTCCGGCCCACTGCAGTCCCACCTCCTCCCTGTCTCTCCGCATCTCCCCCTCCCATCTCCTTGACTCCGAGAATTAACAAGCTTCCAACAACTAAACTGCATTCCTCCAGGGTCCTGGGGAGGCTGAAGGAATTGCAGACCAGAGTTACATTGTTCTTACTGCCCCCCCATCCCCACCTCTCATGAACAGAAAGGATCAGGAGGTGTGGGGGGGGAAGAGTGCAG